AATATATTATACATCATCCTTAATACATAGAATTATAATTATTCGTAAAAAATTTCGCGTGTTTAGCGATTAAAGAAAATGAAATTATAAATACATAATAAATGTTTATATGTATGCATGTTGAAAGAACATTGTTTACAATTTCTTGAGCAAAAAAACCATAATTTTTATCGTTAAATAATTTAATATTTTGTAAACTATATCTTATCGAGAATGAAAAAAAGAAAAAAATCGTGAATTTATGTTGTATTTTATAATTTTATGAGCTATTATGAGCTTTTATTACTAGTTATGTTTACATAATTCTTTCTAAGTTACATATAATATTTCCAAAGAAATACAATTTATACAAATTTAAACAAAGATGGAACATATTTTTTGTGCTCTAACGGTCCATAGAGGTGTTCTGTTAGAATCTAAATCATAATACAACAAGAAGCAACTTATGTATAGCCATTTAATATTATTAAGGTTTTTGAATGGAGATAGTGACAATACGAAAGTTTACATTTCGAAATTCGATTCGTTTCAAGCAGCACCGATAGTCGCCGTAACGAATGATCCGTAACAAGGATGATATAATACTTTCTTAAAATAAAAATATTGACTTATTAAAATGAATATTGAGAATTAAAAAGATCTTTGAAAAATTAAGCTACAACGTTAAGATAAAATCTCTAATATTAAAGATATTTTTTTTTTGTTTTTAATATAAGCCGAATATAATGTGTACTTACAGAAAAGTATTTGTTACTCTTTTTACTCGGAAGAAAGCAATTTTATAATAAAATTCATTCGGTTCTGCCATAATTGCAAAGTTAACAATTCCGAATGTAAAAGCCCTATAAATATATATATATATATATATATATATATATATATATATATATAGTATATGAATATATTTTACATTGCACTTGAGTAGGCAGTAATAATAATAATTAATACTAATACGAATTAGAGTGGAAATTTTCTTGCCTTACGAGTATAAAATAACAATATTATTCTGAAATTTTAAATAGTCAGAACAAAGTTAGAGCAATGATAAAATGTTCATAGTTTCAACATCCCCATTTACGCAATAGTATGATTCATTCCTAAAATTGTGTATTTATACGTATAAACAAAATTGTCTCCCGAATATGATGTTCAGGGTGTTTTGCGCGGGGCGTGTGACTGTGATTAACCTAACGGCACCGACTAACTGACCGAGAGAAAGACGACAAATCGATATTATGTGGCGCTCCGCGTCCTCCTTTCCTTCGTATATTCCAACACGGTGGCGCTTCCTATTCGCTTAATCCTGCGAACGACGACGATACATCCCCTCCTAGCCTAAATTTCGCGACGATTTTTTGCTTCAGAAAGCACCATGCATTATAAAATTTTAATAATATTAGCAAATAAAATTGTGTTGAAACCGAAGACCGACCTGTCCTTTTCCACCCTATTTATCGACTACTTGGCAGTCAGTGTATGATGTTTCATTGGGTCAATACTGGCATTTATATATTCGCGTTGCTGGCTTACGCAAATATTCTCCCACATTTTTTATCAGCTCCCGTTACCACCAGTATTGTAATTTTTTCATAATATAAGCAAATGTTTCATTTTTTTTATGCCGCTCGTCTTTATCAATTAATCATTAACTTTGCGTTTTCAATCCAACGTTTCTATCGAAAGTACGTCCAAATGGTCAGGGATAATTTTCTATATTATTTTTGGCTCTTATAATCGCTGCCAACTGCCTGAACGCTATCCTCCTTGAGGCTTGATAATATCACTCGTCACAGTACATCGCCATCAGTATCTTATCGCTATTAAAATACGTTCGGTGGCCTCCTGTGCTAATAATGCATCGTTATTCGGTGTTAGGCTACGCTCGCGAAATAACAAAGCAAAGCGTTCGAGGCAACTGGCGTCGATCAACTTGGCTTCCGAGGCATCTCCATCCCCCGCGTTGCCCATTACCGGCCGAACTCGATGTCCTCTCTGCCTCGAGGAAGAAGATCGCGCTCCCCGTCGTTCAGGGATTACGCCCGAGCACCGCCTTGACAATGTAATCAGCCTCGGCTACGTGGAGTAGCGACTCTTTTCGCGTTGGCGCACACGTTCATTGGCCGGGGGCTCGAAATCGCTCGACTCGCACGAAAGATAATTAGGGGCTCGTCGACGCCTGCGCCGTCTCTACGCTCGCGCTCGCTCGCCAGGGCTTGAGTCAGGGCTATCGCCCGCGTAGCCGGGGCCACTTGTCAGCGCGACAAATAATTTCCGACCGTCGGCCGCAATCTCGGCACGAGGATCGCGGCCTCCAGCTCGAGCAGCCTTACCTTACCTATTCCCGCTTACTCGTGCGTTCTTTTTTCTTTATTTTCGCTGCGTGCACGAGTCTGGGCTGCGGCCTGCTTAACGGAGGATATTATAGGACGATTCGGCGTCGCTCTGTCAGCAGGATTCGGGACTCGGGCGGGTCATTCCGTTGGGCGCCACGCGAGGTTTTTGCTTTTAGAAGAATATCGAGCTAAACGCGTAGAAAACGACTAAAGCTGGCCGTCTCTTATATTAAACGAAGCTTAAAGTAAGTGGATTAATTGTCGGGACGCATTTTAATGAGCTTGTTCGCCAAGTGCTTATCGATTACGTAACCGCGTGTGTTTAAATATACAGCTGGTCGTTTCGTTCTCAAATCTTCCCGGCATTTATTCGCCATCTAATCAGTGCCGTCAATATTGCAATGTGTGTATGGCCATTTGCTTTAATAGATCTTTAAAATATTGGGGAATATAAAAGCCATTGCTAATTATAAATATAGTAAATATACTTTTTTCGAGGCCTTTCTCTGAATGGTAAAATAAATAAGTGAATAATAAGAAAATGTAAGAAAGAAAAGCTATCAGTCACTTATTTGGAGCAGGAGGTGGGGTATTTGCTAAATTGAAGATCTTCTTAGCGAATAATCGAGTTGGACAAGTTCTATTAAGCATAGAGACAAAAAGTCTCTAGACGAGTCCATTTTTTCTGCTTTAACAGTTCATTCGTCAATTTAGCGACTAAAATGTGTGAAATGTAAAACTAACAAGAAGAAAAGCACGAATCATCTATCTTTCTACAAACGTAACTAATGAATGTTGCTTATATAATATTTTGTCAAATAAATAATGGCAATCGTTAATTTTATCTTATACCTAATAGTTTGGAGTTATTAAAACAGTCGGTACGATAATATGAATATTATAATAATCGCTCGTTTCATTTCACAAAATCCAATTAAATTTTATCACGAAATGTGATTTTTTTTTTACTTTATATATATATATTTTTTTTTTATATAATTAAAGTAAACAAAAAGCGGAATCAAGTCGCTTAGCTGACTAATTAATTAGTTGACGTTTTTAGACAAAAGTCTAAGGTAGTAAGATGCTGCCTCTTTAAGAAATGTGTGTTTTGCTTACAAAATGACAAGTCTCTAGTTTCTCTCGCCCTCTTCCATTAACCAAATTGACGAGTATAATATATCTTCACTCAGAAAAGCGGCTTAATTTTCATAGTGCATTAAGCAACTACGCCAAGTGAATGACAAACTCGTTCGAAAATCCAATGATTATTATATAATGCTTATTTAAATGCTTAAATGCTTAATTGAAAAGATATAGTTCAAGTTTTTATTTTTTATTTAAATCAATTCGTAAAATTATAATTATTACATTCTCTTGATAATGAGAATTTTAATGAGATTTTGCCAAACATCAGTTAAGGTAACCCTACATTATAAAAGGTGTACTTTATTTATTATTAAAAGTAAGTATAAAAAGCAGTTATTGATTTACAATTACTTCGAAATTGTAATAACGTTCCTCTCGTATTCCTTTTATACGAGATTTTTATTTTAATAACTTTATATAAGGTTTTTTTCGGTTTTTTTTTCGTTTTTTTTTCGTTTTTTTTTCGTTTTTTTTTTTATTCGACCGCCGTTTAACCGTACGATAAGAAAAAGTTTGCGTAAAAATTGTTTACGTAGACCGGAAACAAGAAAAGGCGATAGCATGACGCAACCTGATTTGGAGAGAAATTATTACATCGATATTACAGCCCTTTTAAAAAACATATACGAAACGTTTGGAAAGCAAATAAAATCAGTGCCTAGGCGGTGAAACCAGCTGCTGTAACTGATAGGTCAAAATGTCCAGATATCCAACAGCGAACACTGCTTTAATTCACCTACGTTGCAATAATTAAGTAGATCTCATTAAGCATTGAAAAACAAATGATTTTCCTTTGTTAATATTGCTACAATTATCAATCATTAGGAGTCGGAGCATTATAGTTGTGAGTTTTATTCATGAATTTTTTACGAATTGAAAGTATAAAGTCGGGAGTTACTCTGCGTGCATTAGAGATGTCAGTATGGATATAAATAACTCGATTGATGGTGGCGAATCTTCCTCGTGATTGTTTACGCATATTTCCAAAAAATGAAAACAGCTTTTCTCCATTTGCTAATAATTATTTAACCTATCGATCAGCTCATACTCAATACATTTCAATTTTACTTATTTCCATTCGATTTTTGGCCTTAATTTTTGTTACGCGATCCTTTAACAAGCTAAATTTAATCGAATATGACGCAACAAAAAAAAAATTGTAAAACAACGCTATAAGCACGATTACAAGCATTTTAATATTATTATTGCTAGTACTTATGTAGCCGCATGTTGAAGGAAAATTAACTGTGAGCAATGCTATAATTGTACATGTTGCCCAAAATTGGCTAAACTTTGAAAATTGGACGTGTCGCATGCCACGCCCACAACTTTAATTTTGACAATTAAATGCTGCAAAAAAAAACTATCCCCCCACCCTCCCTCCCACGAAAAATTCGATTAATCGTAAAAATTCGAGCATCTATGATGCTCGCCATCCTACTAATTTTCTCACACCCAAGCCCCACAACTTGTAGCGATCCCTTGATTAATCCCTAATGAATGCCTCTTCTATTTCAGCTCCGAAGACGAGCGCGAGCGTCGGGGAGTTCGGCAGTATCTCGGTCTCCGGCAACGTCGGCGCCGTCTATCCGGGCTCGCTGTCGAGCTCGAGCTGCCTAGCCGGGACCGGGATCGGTGTGTCCGGGTCCGTTGGCGGTAGCGGCGGCGTTGGCGCTGGAGCCAACATCAGCCCGGGTGGCGTCTCCCTGAGCGTGGCCGCCGCCGCCGCCGGCATGTCCGCAGGCTTCAACAATACCGGGCGCACCAACTTCACCAACAAGCAACTCACCGAACTCGAGAAAGAGTTCCACTTCAACAAGTACCTGACCCGGGCGCGCCGCATCGAAATCGCCTCCGCCCTCCAACTGAACGAGACCCAAGTGAAGATCTGGTTCCAGAATCGGCGCATGAAGCAGAAAAAGCGAATGAAGGAGGGTCTGATACCGGCGGAGGCCGTGTCCGGCCTCGGGAACGCGCGCAGCACCAGCAACTCGCCGACGAGCAACTCCTCGGGCCTCGATATCGGCATCGGCCCCCACGGCTTCGGTTCCGAGAGCAGTCGGGACTCGCCGCCGGGTCCCACCAAGGATTGACGCCACTACGACAGCTGCTCCTGAGGGACCCCTTAAGGCCCTGGACTCCTGACCGCCCCTTCATGCCCTCCGGACGTCTCCGACGACCACTGTACATACTACGTCGCTGTTACAGACGCTTCCTTCGCGTCGGTGGCGGCGGCGACGGCAAAGTCAAACCCATTTGCCAGCGCTCGTTTTACCTCACATATTCAGAGGAGTTTAATCCGCACTCCCCCGTACTCTGCCCTGCGTAACGTGCACGTCTGCATCGAGCGAACGAAGCTTAACTATTGGCATAATAGAAGACTGCGTGCCAGCTTAGCAATTGATACCAGTAGTGGGACGATAATGTTTGTAGAGTATGTTCGCTCCGAAAAGTTGTGTAATGTCGAAGGGAAGTTTTAATGAATTGAAGGAGCCAGAGCGGCAAGTTGGGCGGGCGATCAGCTTGTGACAAAAACTATATTGCTTTCGCTTCTATAAGGACTTTAACGCTTTTCGGTCTTGCTTAAGAAATAATTTTTCGCGCAGTAATGATAATTGGAAAGGTAATAAAAAATAAATTTGACTTGCTTAAATTAAACGCAAATAATTATGTTTTGTTTTGTTTGTTATGTTTGTTGATTGAATTCATCGCCTTTTTCTTCAATACAACCTAAAAGAAATGTAATTCAATTTAGCTCGTAGAAAATTATTAATGTTTTTCTTTTGCAGATTTTACAAGATGATTAATTTTGATGAAAGATTTTCAGCATAGCAGGTGGGGAAGTGAAAGCGAGCATTATAAAGTAGTTATCTACTACTTTCACTCATTACTTTAGCTATAACAAGACGATATACATAATCTGCCAATAGGATAACTATTATTTTTTCATGGAACAAAGTATTTTCAATGTATGATTATTATTGCGTGTGCCATAATACGAGAAAAATAATAATATAAAAGGATTGATTGTGAGCGCTAATAAATTATAAAATTTAATTGCAAAATTTACATTGTTATGTAAATTATACCATTAAGGCACATAAAAATGTCTAAAGTTTTATTGAAAACGTTTTTCGTATAAAAGAACTAACGGCTCGGCGTAAGAAGAGCTTCGATATAAAAGTTTAAGCCGTTAGTTCGTGGTATAATTGGCTACACGATCAAACGATTGAAATTATATTAAATCTGTGTAAAAAGAAAATTAACAAAAATATACAATGCGAGCATCTGGATTTACTGTTATAAGTAACTATTGCTTATCTATTATAAAATAATAAAGATCAAAAACATGATATCGACGAGGATGAATTTCTGATAATCACATACAATTTTCAAAATGTTATTCGTATAATTTTTATTCATGAATTATAATTATGCGTGTACGATATAGATATTTCTAAAATTTCATATAATAATACGTACCCGATGATTGTGCTGAGTTGTTGATACATCGTTTACATAGGTCAATAAATCTATGCGGCTATTTTCTTAAAATTAACATACCATTGCCACATTGGATTCAAAACCCTGTACATCAAAGGATTCGATTGCTATGATTTGCTGCTGCGTATATTCAGAGGCGGCACCAATGACGAAAAAGTCCTGCGAAAAAGACTGTATTATATCTCTTTTAAAGAAAAACGTATTCTTTAATTTTATCTACACAATACTGATTATGTATTCGCTGGAAACAACGCTGAACCAAAGAGTAAAAAAAAAAAATAAAAAAAGAAAGAAACATAAACCAGTATGCATGCGTACGCGGTAAATGCTTTAGTACGCAATAAATTAATGGAAACGAATTACGATGAGATATTCTATAAGAAATAGTAAAAATTTTACAAAAATCTATAATTCATTTGAATGGTCATAGCGTATATTCAAATAGTTACAAAATAGTTACTGAAGTATGTAATGAAGCTCCAAAGACTAGCTAACATAATTCAGCATTTTTTAATAAAAAATACTTCGACTTTAAAACTGAAAAGATATGGAAAATAGGTTTAATTTTATTATTTAATGCGCAATTTTATTTGTTCACTCATATAATAATACTATAATATTACAAATCATTTCTGTCTCTGAAAAAAAAGCTACGATTATATGAAATAATCAAAATTTATAGTTATAAATATATTACTATTAATATACTTTGTATATTTATATGTAAATAGGATATTATGCAAATTATAATTTAATAACTCCTTTTTAAATGAAAATATGTATTTAATTTATATGTATTTGATTATCTTATTCTTGTATAAATCGTGTAAAATTGAACCCGAAGAATGCCTATTTTCCTTAAGCATAAAATCTGTATTTGCATAAGGATCATTCATTAATTAGATTTACATTTTAGAATTAAGTTTTACCAGAAGTTTTAGTCACGTTCGGATAAAATTAGCAAAAGCTTCTGTAGCAACAATTCCTATTATCGTAAATTATTGATAGAATAATATTTCATGTAGGAATTATAGAAAAATAAAGTATTATTGTATTTAACTCTTATAAAATTACTATTTTGTTAATATTTCTTATATGATTTTTTAACCTACATCTACACGCATTCAAAACTATATATATAAAGAATATATTTTTAATGCTATCATTAAACAATACAAAGTATTCATGTCCCGTTAGATTACCTTGATAGGATTGCAACAGACGGAAAAAGATCATTTGAAAATTTCTTGAAAATCACTTATATTTAATGATAATATAATTAAACCATTGCATCCAATATAATATTTTTATGTGTAAAAATATATTGAAAATTTGAGATGTAAATTAAATTATTCTAATGCTGCCGATTTTATTTTGTTATAAAATGTGGGCTGAAACATTTGAAGTATATTATATAGAAAATATATTTACTTTGCCGTTAATGTAATTTAGTGGCTTGGAAAATTGCAATTTTTCTTTAATACGAATGAAAATTTTTAAATACTTTAAATACTATTAATATTTATCTGAACTTTATAATTCACTAATGATAATAAATAAAAATATACACACATTTAAAACTTTAATAATAATAATCTATCACTTTTAAAAAAATAAAGCATAAATGTAATTAGATTTCTTATGAGTTTTAGGCTTATTTTATTATAAATATTTGTTCTCGAAAGCTTATTAAGATTATTTTATTTTTCATTTACTTGATTAAAAAAATTATCTAAAATTGATTTTTGTATATTTTTTTTTTTTTTTTTTTTTTATGATCGGTCATGTTCCATTAATAAATAAAGAAAATTAAAAATAATGAATATCAAATAATAATAATAGTAATGTTAAAATAAATCTGTTTTTTTTTTCAATAATTCATTAGACGATTGCATATCTTGATATCAATATGCAAGTCAATGTAAAATTTATTAACACTTAACAAATAGTTATTGTTGACAAAACCATTGTTTAAATCGGATATAAATATACATATAATTTTGTTAACACAATGATATATAATAATATATTCAATCCATTAATTTAATAGGAAACATTAAATTTATATGAAAATTTAAATTAAAAATTACACGTAGTCATGAATGGAACAAAATATTGATCAACTATGGAAAAATGAAATATAATAAAAACTAAATGCTGAAAACTAGTTAAAAAATAACAATATTTATTTAAAAAATGATAAATGTATCTTCTACAGATACTGATATTTTTAATAAATACAGGATTTGTGATTTAGATGGCAGCACATGCGTAAAGTTATCTAGGAAATTTCATAACCATAAGTGTTCAATCGGTAAACAGTCAACTATTGTGAATTTTTATTTAACATGTAACGGCCTATTATCGTTAAAATAAAAATTTCTACACAATGAGTGATAAAGAAAGTTTGGAAAAATTGTTGGTTTATCAACAAGATCTTCAAACTGAAAAGGAATGTTTACAAAAAATTATTTCCAAGCTTAATGCACAGGCTCATGCTCTTCAAGTTTGTATCTTTAATTAAATAATCAAATTTCGAATTTATTAATGCTTTGTTTAATTATTCTTAGGTTGAGCAACTTCACATTTTAAATGCTATTAACAAGACTGCAAATACTGATAAGTCAGGTCAAAAAAATTCAACTGCTACAGAAGATAATTTCGTTAAAATGGAGTCGATTAATCCTGAATTACAAGAATTAGATCTCTCTGTACCAACATTTCAAAGTTCTGAAGAGGATGACGATGAAATAGAAGATTAAATTATAAAATTTGTTAAAGCTTTTATTAATGATTTTTTAACTATGTATAAATCTTTAAGAGTTAAAAGAATTTTATATGCGTATAACTTAATGTTCTGAGAAATTTGAAAATAAGCACAATGAACTCAAAACAATTCTTTTGTTTATCATAACCTAAGATTATGAACTTCGGTCCTTCAAAAACTATACATATTTATTTGTCATTCTAACAATATGTACTTCCAATGGTTGTTACTCATTCTATCACTTTCTGGAATTAAATATATCTGTCAAAATCTTAAATACATAATCATTTTATGAAGAACTGGCTTCTGGAGGTGCTCCTAATTGTGAAGGATCGTCAATCATAAGGGCTGGAGGTTTAAATTGTTCGGCAGAAAATCTGGTAATAAAAATCCCAACTCCTTCGATAAGTGCTAATAAAATTCCTCCGATAAGTGCACTTCCAGCCATCGCTGGTAATCCGTTTCTTGCTGCTAATATACCACCAGTTGCTGCACCACTGATGATCGAATTCCATGGGTCTTCCTTTTTCCTAAATTGAACAAGTGTGCAATCTATTGTTGAAAACATGCCCCCCCAAATTGCAAAACTTCCTGCAATTATTGGAGATCTATCTTTGATTGCCATTAAGCTTCCCAAAAACCGTTTATTTATTCCACTAGGTGCATTACGAAAGCCTTTTATACTTTGAAAAACCGATCCTCCTACTGCACCCATTGTAAATGCGCCACCGCAATCGTCAACGATTCGCCAAGGGCAAGGCTCTCTTGCGTATTCTTCCATTTTAATATTCTACAAACTAATTAATACATGACTTAAGAGATTATTATATATTACATTAGCACATTATTACATAAGATGATATAATAAAATGATAATTTATATTTTTTATTGTACGATTTATGAGCTCTTAAAGTAACAAGAGATTTAATTTCAATTTGTTTTTGTAAACTTTTTAATAATGCAAAGTACATTAATTAATTGCCACATTTAATATTACCACATTTTATACATTAGAATACTTTATTCTCATTAAGATCATATATAATTTTGATTTTATCGATTTACATATTCATCTATATTTACCCATTCATGTATTCATTTAAATATTAAATTCAAGTTTATTACTAAGATTAATAATTAAAAAAAAAAAAAAAAAATTATTATTAATAAAATAAAAAAATTTGAATTTTATAAATTATCTGTTCATATCAATTAAAATAATATTGAAATACGTTATTACATAAACACAATTTACATAATAAAATAGATGAAAAATATTTAAAAAGGTTATTGTTGATATCTTAATAGCTTTAATTTGAAGTACTATTTTCGAAATTATGTCATATAATAAACTAAATACATTAGTTAAAATTAATCAATAAATAACAATTTATGATAAAATTAACACAAAATTCTATGACATTGATTCTTCATAAAAAATTTAATAATATAATATTATTCAATTTAAGGTTAGGATAACGAAATCAAATACCACACTTCGATTAGCATTCAAAATTACTTATAAATTTCATTATATTATATTATCACCAGATGTAATTAAAATATATGCTTTGAAAAAATTTAATATTTACCTATAAATAAAATAAAAACTACGTCCTTTTCTAAAAGCAACTTGCTTTATAAATTTTTCACCGACCACAATGAAGAACGAACCACGTGAATCAATGAAGAAATAAATCATTATACAAAGATCATAGATTGCGTGCGATCATGAGTTTATTACTATATACAGTGAGGGAAAGCTCGAGAAACAATTAATATTGTAAAATATATTTGCATCATTAAAGAAATACTCCAGATTGTTATTCATGAATTATGTGAACTTATATTTTTTATTTATGATAAAAAAAAAAAAAAAAAAAAATCATAAAAGCTTGAACAAGTCGATATGCCGAAAATGTATGAAAATTATATGTAAGCGGGAACTTAAATTAATATTATGAAAGTATTGTTAATTTGCTAAAATTAAAACGATAATATTACATGATAAAGTGTTTTTATTATATTATGCAGCTAAATAAATTGTACTTTTTACAAAATTATTAACAAAAATGTGTCAATACGCATGAATAACTATTTATTTAAAAGTCTTATTTCTTATTTTCACGGAGAGTGAGAAAATATATACCACTGTTCGAAAATAGAGTGACCGGAGAAGTCCAAAAATAAAACGTATTTCTCGTTAGTTGGGATCACATCTGCCATATTCTTTGCTGAAGAAAGAGTATTCCATCCATTAATAGTAATTAAAGAATATCGTCTAAGTTTTAACAATTATCGGAGATATTTTGAAATATCTGCTTAACGTTTTTCAAGTGAAATAGTAGGAATATACGTAGCTTTACATAGAGCTGTAATAACTTTAAAATAAAGTTTCATTTATACGAAAAACATTTGGTGATGATCAATAGACACATTTGCATCAAACTTCAAGAGTAATAATACTAAGCCTTCGCAATTACCTAGCACTTAATTATTTGTTAAAAGAAACTTCATTGATAAAATAATTTTACAATGTCAGAATCAGATATTAAGTCGTTTCAGAAGGCTGCTGGCGATTATACCGAAGTGAAAATGTTAGATGGAAATTTGGAACCAACGGTAGATTATGATGACAATAATTTATGTAAGATTAAATGTGCAACTAGCGATGATAATAAGTCAAAAAAGGTAATTTTATCTCTTATGTAAATTATTTTTCAAAAAAACTAAGAACAACATGAATAAGTAATGAAAGTAAATGTATTGAATATGTCATAAATACATAAAAATCAATTATAAAGTCGTAAATTTTTGTTAACAAAATATAAAAATAATAGAATTAATAATAATAATAATAATAATAATAATAATTTAGAACGATAATGCTGACACGAAGGAAACTGGAGAGTTTAATAATAAAGAGTCCATTCCAAGTGTACGGGAGGAAATATCGGTAAATATCATGTTTATAAAATAAATAAATAAATTTAATTAAAAATTGCTTAATAATTTATATCTTAGTGGCTTCTAAAAAAAAAAGACATTAATTACTTAATAAATCTGATTAAGAGTGATTATTTTTACTATTAAAATTGATCGATACTTCTTTTTTTTTTTCATCAATGTTTCATTAATTAACAATAATTATATTTATTACGAACACCAAATTATTCAAATCAAGTAAATATAATTTGCCACAAAAAATTACTAATTCGGAAGATGATAAAATTTTTAGTAAGATGAGATTTAAAGTCGAATAAGTAAGATCCATATATATATATATATATATATAATTATTCTTATTGTTTAATCAACAAAAATGTTTAAAAAATTCAATATAATGCTAATTGATGGATTTAAAATTATAAAAAAAGGCTGTAATTCTTCTCTAAAAATGGAATTAATTTGGATTTTATTAAAATGAACATATTAACAAATATATTTTAAACGTAAACTTTATTTCCAAAGATAATGTTGATAAATTTAAAAACAGTCTTGTTTTAATGACAATAATATTTTATTTCCTAAAATAATTAAGAAAGAAAAAAGAAGAAAAAAGATTTATATTTACAACATTTTTATAAACAATGACTCACTGTTGTTAGTATAAAATGTAATTTTTTAAATTTTTTATACATCTTTCTAAAGTAAATAATTTCTTATTTTTTGCTTATATGTTGCGTGTGTAATACTAACAAACGATAATTATAAAGGATAAAAATAATTTAATTTTTATCGGTAACCAAAAACTAATTCATCACAAAAATAGTTATGGAGTTCAGATTACATTATGCTTTTTTCGATATTCAGAAGCGACCGAATGACTTTTATAAGAAGCTCGAGGAGACTCAACGGAAACTCTCCAACCTTCTATTATCTCCTGACAATTTAGCTAATGGCTTAGCCAATTGCTCTGAGTATGGAAATTTGCGTTTCGAGCTTGAAGATTTGAAAAATACCCTGTCGCAAACAAAAGTTATGTTGGAGGATCGCGACCGACGTATTTCAAATCAACAGAACCAAATATCCGCCTTCATCAAGCAAGTGAATTCTCTGAAAGAGGTCATTGCCATTACCAAGGATATGCTTAATATTCGCAATATGGAGGTGAAACATCTCCAGGAGGACGTTGACAAGATGGAGACAAAAATTACGGCCGAACGCGATAGGCACAATGCTATGATTGGCAAGATGGATGCTGCGGTGCGTCTGAATGCCGATTTAAAAAAGGAATATCAAACGCAATTACAGCTCTTTCAAGATTTGAGGGGAAAATATGAAGAAAAGGTGACAATACTCAGCGAGGAAAACAAAGCCCTGGAGATGGCAATTCAGGCGCAACCGGCCCAATGACTAGTATACCGACTATTCAAATCTGTTAAAAAGAATCCATGATTATATTTTATACTTATGGCAGCTATTTTTCTTTTGTACTCACTTATTAGGAATGATAATTTACAATAATTGTAAATTCAAGAAAGATTCATTATGCCTCAATATAAATCAATGAGTTTGTAATTCTACATAAATAAATTCTACAGATTAAATTTTGCTTCCGTCTAATCGATAAGCTAATTTCATAATTAACTTTTATTTTATTAAAAGAAATTTATTTGCCATATCTGTATTTGAATTGTATTTATTGTGTCTATAGGTAGGACAAACTGTGGTATCCTATTGAGATATAAAAATACCATACTAATACACGCATAAATTCTAAACAGCTTTATATATATACACACACACAATGAATATGGACGTACATTCACTTACGTTTTGAAATTTAAAATTCCGTTTGTTTACAAAAAGTCAAGTTTCATTATTTGAATAAATATTTTAAGCTTCCGATTTTCAAATAATATTACAATATTAATATGTATGACTTAAATACTGGATTAAAATTAATCAATACATAGCAAAGGTCGAGTTAAGTATATTTTCTTCTTTGTTAAAACGTATTTAAACACTTATTTTTCGGCAAAAATTTTTCATTAATTTGAATTTAAAAAATTAAATTTACCTCTAAAGCGTACGTATTAAATATTAAATATGATCTATCTTAATCATACAGCAAACACGTCAGTACATCAGACACACACCATAACCTTATTATTAAAATTTGATCTTATAAATAATACGAACATATAATACTAACAAATTGCTTATGTTTAATTATTAAATAGTAATAAAATAATATGCTATAAAATAATGAAATAAGAAGCATTTAGGCTTAATTATAATTTTATAAAGATAACCAAATATAATTACATTTTATAATTAATAAGATTACGATGCTATATTGTTAAAATTTTTAATATTTCAATTAAATAAAATACTGATAAAATCAGTTATAGATTAGTTGGCGTTATTAATAAAAATTGCTAGTACATTATATATAAAACTAAGCAATACATTGTAATAAATTGGAAATTTCGTCATTATACCTAAATTGTAAAAAAAATAAAAATATAAATAACATTTTTAATTATTCCGATATTATCGTACAGATTAGGAAAATTATTAAAAATAATTGTCAATTCATTAAATTTTTAGTGTAACATAGATATCCAAAATAAATGCTCCAAACGCCATTTATTGCGGAATAAACGAAAACAAAAAAAACAAAAAAAAAACAAAAAAACAAAAAAAAAACAAAAAAAAAAAAAGAACAAACGCAATTAATTGTAAACTAATGATAAAGTGTTTAAATAATAATATATCTTAATATAATAGATATCCAGAATTGGGTTGCTCTGTTGCTACCAGGGCAACTGTCCTCTTTTTCCGGCTTTTCCGCACGGACGATTCACCAGCTTCCCTCGCCCTGGTTTACCACTTACTCCCCCATCTAATATACCCTTCTTCTCTTGTTTGTTTCCTCATTACCTGAACTATAAATGCCTTTACTCTAAATGTTTTCATTAGAAAAAAAAAAAAAAATTATTCAAGATATTAGACGCGAGTGTTATTGCGGTTACGTGTTAAAATTTGAAATTATAAAATGCGATGAAGATTAAATTATTTTATTCCGCATAAAATTTCATAATCAATAATTTTCTAACCAACTACAAGCAATAACGTCGATTGTATTTTAAAGATATTTACTTACTTATAAAATTGTCATTAGAGATGAAAAATGAATTTTGAATAAAACTATTTTGTCCGTCGAGGCATATATAAAATAAGTTTTTTCTTATTTATAGTTATAATTAATTTTTTCTTTTATCAAAAATAAAAATTGTCTTTCCGTAACAATGTTTATAATTTTCTCATCGCAAACATATTCAACATTTCAAATTAATATTGTTGAAAATACACTTCAAAAACTACTTTAATATGCAATAAAATAATTGTATAACTGCTTAACTAATTATTTACGCGCGTATTAGCTCGTTAATATTAATAATTACAACTTATAAAAATTACGTATATTTTACAATTCCATATTAAGCAAAATCCACGATAAATAATTTTCAACGAACTCCGAAAAAAAGCACAAAGAAAATGCGAAACGACAAAAAATACAAAATCACTTAAGAGCTCAAGGTGGTAATTTTCTCGATTCTGCGCAGAGCCGCTTTATACTGATTGGCTGTCGTGTAAAATAATTCTTATTAATTAAATACTATTTTTTAATAATAATGTGGAATTTTAATAAAATTACCATAAAATTTGCCATTAAAAAATATTGTTCACATCTACGTCATATTACACTTACTATTATGTAGATATGTGGGCTGTGTGCAAAATCCATCGAGTCCTATTCAAAATATTCCAAAAACGGCAAAAATGTTCTTAGAATTCCTTTGCCAGCGCGTACGGGCACGCACGCACGCACACACATTAACAAGAATTCTTTTTTCACTTGAAATTTATGGTCCTTACTAAACGCTTTAATTTATTAAATCATTCCCGCGTAATAGTAAAATATTCCTCTTTTTAACAAAAGCTTTAAATTCGTTTCGAGGACGATTACAACAAATTAACTAATCATATTTATTAGAAGCTCGATATAACTAAGAGATAAATAAAAATCCAATGTATGTGTGATAAAATAAATTTTTGTTTTATTTTCTTCCTTGGTTCCCTCGGCCAACGACTTTTATACTTAAGAAGTAATGTTTTGATAAAAGAAATTTTATTTTGTCATTTTAATCTCAAGATTACAATATTAGCTGCGTTAGAGCTTGAAAAAAAAAAAAAAAAAAATAATGCAAAAATGCCAACAAAATTAAGATTCAGCACACAAACGAATATCATAATCGAACATTACAAACGAATAATATTTATCGATGCGTAAATATATCATTTATCCATGTTTATTTTAACGATCTTACGTTGAATTTATCGTAAATCTATCGTATTGAGTACAAAAAATGCATATCAATCTTTGGCGTATTATGGACAAAATTTGCATGATGTTGACATTAAGAATTTCGTGGATTCGTATATATGAATTTATATATTCATTGAGATTAAAAATCTCATTGGCATAATGTAAGTTCGGTTTCGCCATGAATTTTGAACGAGCGATAGAAAATTATTTATATTATTTTTTAATTTATCATTCTTTTGTATTTATTAAACATTATTTTGCTTTTTAATTTTAATTATTAATTTTATTTTTTCATCGTATATAATAAAATAACTGGATAATAGTTTCAAAATACCCTATGATTAATAGTTGGGTATGGATTTTTTTTTTCTTTTTTTCCTTTCGAGTATGTTACGTATGAATGGTAATCATCGTAATAGAATTAAATATTTTATTAAGATATGTAGAGTATAAATTAATACTAACTTCATATTTGCAAATTTCCTCTACAATTGATGATATCATAGGATATCGCTATGTCTTATTTGGCATTCCAAGCATTATTATTTATTTGGTAAATTAATGGAAAATTTTTCATAAATAATTGAAATTGATCGGAATGAGTTTAGAGAAAAATTCTTATAATATGTGCGCATTATGAAATAATTAATTAATACCTTTAATAAGCAACTTTGATATTGAATGTTAATACCAATTGTTTATCGTTTAATTCGTTGTTATTATTATGAATTGATTCGAATTCGTGAGAATAAAATGGCCATTTCTTATTATTAAAATACTCTTTACTACTAAGTATATAAATAAGTCTACGATAAAGTTTTAAAAAAATTAATTTCCTATTAATGGGCCTATTAATATAAAAAATTTTTATATCTATTGTTAAAAAATTTTCGACATCCAAAAGATTTTTGAGCAATTTTACCAATTTATTGAATGATAAATTCAATCGCGCGCTCTATCGAAATGGGAGGGAATAAGATTTTTCAATTATCCCTCGAATTCACAATAGTTCGTGTGATATTTAGCTAATTTCAATATTCCAATCACAATTTGAGAAATTCAACCTTAGCGCATTTTAAACCAAAGCACAATGCAAATGATATTGTACTTTTTTTTTTATGCCGCTTATATTATTATTATGAACTTCATTGATGATCATCATTAGCGAACACAAGACTATAATTCATTGAAATTAAAAATTACAATGCATCTAATGGGAGAATAAATAGTTAGGTAATGTGCGCGAGACCACCTTGCAACGATACGATAAATCGAAAAAATTATCATGTTAATTTATTAATTGATTAAATATAATTTTCGGGACATAATATTGAAAGCAATGTAGAATCGATAGTCCTGCAAACGGAAAGAATAAAAATAACAACGAAAAAAAAAGTTATGCATTAATTTCTGCCCTCAAATCATTTCCAACAAATGGAGTAAGTAGAGCAATTCCGACAAGTAGACCTTTCAGCGAAGGAATCATCCTCTCGTCTCTAATGAAGCCCTTTTAAACAAATCGAATACTCGTATACGTCAGCGGCTACTAAGCCTCCATAATGTCCCTGGCAGTGCATTTGCACATACACTTGCACCATTGCTCTCCGAACGAACTATCATCGGATGATTCGTCAAACGTCACAATGCACGACGTCGTCGGTGATGATTCTCATTTTGTAGCTCGTCCGACCTATAAATTGTCGACGGTAATATTCGCGCTCGTCAGCGACCACATTAACAGTAGCGATACCGAGGCCGAGCAGAACACACCTACACAGAAGATGTATCGTGCACCGGCTCTGCTCTCAGGTAATGAACTAACAATTTGTAATCGACAGGCTCCTCTCCTACTTTCTTTCCCAATTAAAATTCTCGCTCATTAATCGCTCGAGTCGATCGATTATCATCGACACTTCGCGAGCCTCAAACGCGAGTGGCTTTACATAAAGATCCACGGTTTCTTAAGCAGCCGCGTGACGATTCTCCAGCTTAAACGTTTAAACCTCGTGTTTACTGAGGGCATCGAAAAAAGAAAAAAAACATTAACAATAACGAATTGCCGATAATGACGCGCGTTTAACTTAACGTCAGCTCTGATTCTCACCCTTGCGCTCATCGCGAACTTCCTGACAACGGCCGAGGGCGCCTGCTTCCTCGAGCGCGGCGTCACGACCCCAGGCGAGCACGACGTCTACACCTGTCTGCGTAGCAAGGAGCTCAAGAAGGACCTGGACCGTCTGTCCCTCGACAGCACCAAACTCGTAAACGTCGTATTCAGGGAGGGCAAACTGATCAAGATCGAGAGGGAGACGTTTCAGAAGCTCGGCACCAAGGCCCTCGGCATTAGCGTCGTGCAGTGTGGCGTCACGGACGTCGATGAAGACGCTTTTCGTGGATTACTGGAGCTCAAGGCCCTCGTTCTCCGCAGGAATCGCATTGCCGAGGTGAAAAAGGCCTGGTTCAAGGATATTAGCAAATTAGGTAAATACCGATTACGACTTAATCATGAAAGTTACGCTATTACGCTTGGGGGCCGGGTCGGGGAGCGGGGGCGGGGGGAGACGATGATAGTGTAAGTGGTGTGGGGTGTGAGGGGAGGACGGGGAGGCTGGCTGGCCGATGGCTAAGGACTCAACGGTTCCCGACTCAAACGAGCCAAACTAGCGAATGGAATTTATTGTTTATATTTATAATAACAGACTGACAGTCTAATGGGAAGATAATTTTCGACAGTCATGTAATTTTATTGTTAATTTACTTATAGAGAGCCTCGATCTCAGCGGCAACCTCATTCGGCAATTCGATGCGACGATTTTCGATCTCACGCCGTTAATTCAAGAGTTTGAAATCTCGGAAAATCAATTGACTCGCTTCGACGTGGAAGCTATGAAGAGCAAGTGGCCGAAACTCAAAAAGGTTGGCCTTCAATCGAACCCGTACGAATGGGCCGAGGGTGTCAAGATCGTTGAATACACAAATTTGCATCCAAGCATCGTCAAGAACTCGTACGCTGCGATTGACGGAATTCGAGATACTTACAAAGTCATCAAGGAATGCCAACACATTATCGCAAAGAAGGATGACGCTAAGGAGTTGGATGACTGCGTGCAGACAAAGCTCGTAAAGGCCATCGAATTACCGAAGCTTCTCGAGGGTGAAAGCTCCGCTGAGCCAGTAAAACCCACGCAATGACACATAAGATTCAATCATTATATAATAATTTTAAGCGAGCGTCTGATAAATATACAAATATTGTAGACGACGAGCAACTGTTAATTATGAATAAATTCTGTTGAAAAAAAATTATCTTAAAATTTTTATTAAGAATGAACAATAGACCTTTTTCATCTCATCGTCTCCTCGAGAGCGATAAGGCATTGAGCATTTTCCGCCTAAGCTACCATTGACCAAATTAACGAGTATTAGGCTTTTTTTTTTTTTTTTGTTTTTTTTTTTTTTTTGGCAATTAATTATTAAACCGAGCTAATATTCGCCGTTACAAATTTACGTTGCAATACGCGTTTAATGCATTCTTATCCAAATATTCGGCCTAATAAGATTTTTTTCTTCCATTTTTTTTTTTTTTTTTTTTGCATCAACAGAAATTTACTCTCATAAAATTACGCCATCAAAATTATTTGTTTACGTAACATTGATTAAAACGTAACACTGTAGCTCTTTGCATTTTATTCCCCTCTACCTCTCTCAATACTATCTATATCTCACCGATAAATCTCTATTATATGCCTTTCGCACCTCCATCAATTAAAATGACGATCCTCAGCAAATCGCCCCTGAGCATGAAAATCCGTTAGTGGGCTCGGGAAATTGCCGATATTATTCATGATTGGCCTCGAAAATCGTCACACGCATACTTGAAAACAATCGAGGTAATTTTTACGAATTAATGTAAATATTGACCTTGACCGAAAAATCACTTGGTAGCGCGAAACGCGGTCGATTGGCGTGTGGACGGGAACGATCCACATAGGAGGGCATAATGATAAAATAGCCCCGTGAATTATGCGTCGTATGCTAGGATTCAGCCAGCTTGGACGAAAGACAGAGCTGCCTCGAGAATATCATCGGACGCAGTCGAATATCCTTGAATTAATCAAATTCGATAATAGCAAACTAAACGATCTCTCTCGGCGACTGACGTATACGTAGGTAGGATCTCCTTGATCGCGAGCGATTGGAGCGTTTTGAAGGCGCAGAGGCGCGCACACGCCAGCCAACGAGCGCAAATTACCTCAAGTGCCTTGGTGCGCGGCGATACACATACGCACCGACCTGGACGAGCATAATGATAGAAGCCATAATGATATGTGCGGCCCCATTCGCATAAAAGCTCGAGTAACCCGCAGGGCGAGCTCAGTCGCCCGCCAGAATGACTGGGAAAGCCGTAACCAAGTGCTGCCTCGTCTTGCTGACGATTGTCGCTGCTACCGATGCCTTCTGCTATCGCAAGAGCGTACCCAAAAATCAGGAAAACGCCGAGGTTTTAGGTCTTACTCTAGTGGGCAATTACTCAATTTGGGTGTGCGTCCAGTCGCCGGACATCGCTGCCGATTTGGAGAGAGCGCCAAAGATCAACACTACGCAGATTTGGTTCTCCATGTCAAAAGTTGAGAAGCTCAAGAGCGAGGCGTTCGCCAAGTTTGCCGAGAAGCTCATCAAGATTGAGATTTGGGACAGTAAGCTTGCGGAAATTGAGGATGGAGCGCTTAAAGGTATCTTGATCGCTGATGCTGCTCGGTCGTTATTGAAAGCTCGATGCGCTCGATCGTAAAATACGTCGAGTGGGGCGGTGATGGCGATGGCATTCCTTTGATTTTCGCGTCATTATTATTTTTGTAAAGCGGAACTTGTCTTTCGAATGTATAGTTTTAGATTCGAAGCCTTCATCCGGAGATACGCAAACAAGCGCACACACGAACGACATAATCTTACACATCGATAATAGCATGCAAACGATTTTCCGTTGATTTTTATGAACAGCCATCATGAGCTTTCTATAAGTTTTCGTATAAGCTTACGATTATTGACAAAAGTACCTACTGCCTTAACGGATGTGTGCGGCAGGGGGTGGCGGTGAGGGGTGTGTGTGTGTGTGTGTGTGTGTGTGTGTGTGTGTGTGTGTGGGTGTGTGTAGCTGGGGGGGGGGAGCTATTGAAAATTATAATCAAAGAAAGCGGTATGGTGTCGTATAGAAATTTTTGTTTATTCGCATTAGATATTTAGTCATTAAATACATTGAATACTAGAGTTAAATTTTAATAGAGTTAATCGACATTGCATGAATAAGGAATCTTTGTAATTTAGGATTGAAGGAGTTGAAGGGTCTTGTTTTACCGAGAAACGAACTCACAACCGTGAAAGCTGCGTGGTTCAAGGACACGGTGAACTTATTAGAGCTCAACTTGATGTACAATCGCATCCAGAGCTTGGAATTCGAGTTCTTGAAGCTCGTCCCGGCACTTATCAACTTAGATCTTCGTGGCAATGAACTCATCGCTCTTCCTACGGACTTCATCAGGCAACTGCCAGTATCCCTTCGCCGTTTAAATATCTATAGCAATCCGCTCAACTATCGCCAGATGATTGAAGTGATGGAATGGAGCAAGGCTAAGGATGACAAGACGAACGATACGAAGCTTAAGGAGCTGAAGCACGTTTTTAATATAACAAAGATCTGTCTCGAAGATAAAACAATCTTGGACAAGAATACCGAGGCCATCAACAAATGCGTCGAAGATAAGATGAACAACGAAATCGCCTTCATCTCTGGAAATAAGACCGCAGTTAAAGTTTAAATATCTTGTGCAATTGGTTTTACGAATAAATCCAGCTGGTTGTAGTTTATCTGCACCTGTCGAGAGACTTAATTGTTTTATTTTTGAATACTGTTACAAAAAAAAAAAAAAAAAAAAAAAAAAAATTATATATATATATATATATTTATGTATGTATGTATGTATATGTAAGCGAAATGCCTAGGAGAGTTATGTAATGAATAATAATTTAATTCAATAAAATTGGGTGAGTATATGATTTGCTTTAGATGATTTTAATTTTATATTGGAATATGACTCGTCGATGTAGTTTAGACGAATGAATTCTTACATTTCCGATCGTTTCTTAGTTTACGATTTATCTCGGTTTACCATTAAACATTATATTGTTATACCAATTCTACTATAACTACTTTTATTACATATTGACTCTCTAAAACCTTTATACAATTATGATTATTTTTCTAAATTTAATCGTTTTATTCTTATAATATAAATTTTCAATTTTTTAGGAAAATTTGCTTAACACTCGCAATTGCATAAATACATCTATTTGACCGTATGTGTAATTAAAGCTGCACCCTATGCTTATGAATAATCGTGGACGTATAAACATATACCGTCTCTGTGCACTGGTGTTTCACAAAAATTAAAATTTTGCATTAATATTATCGAATGTTTTACATTAAAAAAGGATTTTTATCATTTATTTGTTAGCAGCGTAATATAGAAAACTACGTAATAAGCTTAAACTAATTCCATTATAAATTATATTTATACTGCATAATTATTATACACTTAGCCGCTATATCGATTTTATTTTTCTTTTTTTTTTTTTAAAGCCAGAAAAAGAAGAAGAAAAAAAAGAACAATTTTATTCACATTTTATAATATGTATTTTTATAACATTGATAGAAAAAAAATATGCGTTATCACATAAATTCCTATATATTTTTCGCTATCAAACGTAATAAAATATATTTTAAAAATTAATGTCCATTGCTTTTTAAGTGTCTAAAAACCATAAATATCATCAACATATTTTCCAAATTAAAATATCACGTAATTAACGTAGGAAAATTGATGCATAAGCATGCCTATATACGTACCTACATTTATTTATTTACAAATACATCGAATCTTTCTCGCGTATAACGATCCAACAGTGTATATATAATAATAATTGAAATAATAAAATCCATAAAAATTACTCGTTGACTATTTCGTACATATCGTTTCCGTGGTGTAGTGGTTATCACATCCGTTTAACACGCGGAAGGCCCCCGGTTCGATCCCGGGCGGAAACATTTTTTTTTTTTTCCCTATTTTAATCCTCAAATTTACTATTCTCGTTGATTGTCAAAATTTTTATTAACAAAACGAATAATTATCGAAACCACGATATATCGCCAATTATTGTTGTTATTATTATTATTATTATTATTATTATTATTATTATTATTATTATTATTATTATTATTATCATTATTACGGCAGCTTAGTTAAGCTATAATTAAAGAAAGGATTAATTACTTTTTAATAATTAATAATCATTACGTACCGTCAATTCTAAATGACAAGTTTATTAACTATTTGTTAACAGAAGAATAATTATTTTATGCGCTAATATAAATTGATATTGTATAAGGTAAAATATACTTTAATACTTTAAATATTTACAAATGCCGATACAGTTGATGTATAACATTTATTAATCGGATAAATAAAAATAAATATATTTATGTAATTAATCTAAGAACACTATAACGGGTGCTTCGTCGTCTTCTTCTTGCTGCAAATATTTGAAATCCCATAAAAACTTTTTAGTGAGCCTGTTCTTCATTCTAACGGCTAAGGATTTTAATCGATCGTCCACATCAACATTGGATTCGATATTGGCAAATAACTTTCGAAGATTGTGGTAAACAAAATTATTACTAGCTACAATATCACAAAGAAGCTCTTCCGGTACATATAGCAATTGAATATCCAACGTGTTCATAAATTCAACGTATATAGCTCGCCGTGTGGGTATTAATGAATCAGCTGTGCAAATTAAGGATAACAGTTTCTTCCAGTGCTCAAACGACTCTAGGCTTTGTCCGGATAAGAAGCATACGAAGGACAATTGTAATTCACCAATTACTTCCATTGGGCTGAAAAAATTATTCGTATGCATATTTATATAAATATATAATCGTCGTTTGTTTGGATTATAAAATATGCAATGCTTACTTATTCAATTTGTCGAGAAGCGTATTCAAGGCGTAGCTTGAATCTAAAGAATGTCTTGTGATTTCAGATGGCGTAGCATTATCAGGATAGAACTTTTCTGGTAATTCGGTTAACCTAAGCTCGGTTCCAGGCTTTGGCTTCAGATCCGGTAATAATTGCTCCTCTTTCTCTTCAACGGTAAGACCAATTTGACGCTTTCTTTTCTTAGAAGTCTCGGAGCCTCTCGGCCTAGACGCATCGTCATAATTCACTAATTCCAACGCAGAATTAACGAACCTAAAATTTATTTGCCAATACTCTTTACGAGCTCTCGTTTTCTAATCTATAACAGAGTCGAAACGGACATACCCACACTGCGGAGCACATCTTTCCGCTATTGAACTATCTATTTTATTCGTAAGATCTTTCCATTGCTTCCATATATCAAAAGGATAGGCACCTAAAAATCTATCTAGCTCCTTCAAGTTTTCTTTCAATCTCTGAACAGTCTCTTCTGAAACAGCTTTGAAAATTATAATTACATCCATATTTTATTTTTCTCACTTTATGCTCAATAATAATAATGGCCGTATAAACAATTTTAATGGTCGTTACAAATAATTGCAAGTACCTACATTCGGAACTGATACTTTCAAGGCTGGCGTCCCATCGTTTCACAATGAAATCACTTTTATTGAAATTATGAAAGAATCCAATTCTTGGTGCTGATTCTCCATATTGGTCCACAGCACTGTCGACAAAGCACCCATACAAACATCTATTATTTTTAATATTTACAAAGTATGTAATAAAAAATTTTTACCTGTAATGAATGAAATGGAACCCTGGTGGGATCATTTTAATACCTTTAAAATTATCATCACTGTTCCACGATTTAATGTCAATGCCAAACTCGGTCCCAATTGGCACATCAAGAACAATAAATGTGCCCCCTTCGACTAATAACTGCTTTGCAAGGTTTGGCTCCATTTCAATACTACTGCTCGCCATTATCGATATATTATAACTCTCCGCCTATTTGATTATTTAAACTAGTGATTTTATTAATTTCGTTCGATGCTCGAATACCGACTACCAACTTCACTTTAAAATATCCACAATCTTAATGCTAAAGCTTATTATATTGTTATAAAATACTTGATATTAACCTTGAATAATTTATCATTGATTTAGATTAGTTCCTCACTTTCACCACTTTTGCTTTCACAAGTGTTTGATAAACAAGGAGTATTTTAATGGTAGAAAATTGTAGGTTAGATATTTCAGCGGATATATTGAATTTCATTATTGTTTGAGAATATTTTATCTTCTTCTGATATCCATTGCCTCGACAAAAATTCTTATAAATTCCTATGGTCAAACGGGTTTCGAAAACTTTAACTATTCAAATATAAATTATATTATCGAGTGATTGTGATTTTCAATCAACTTAAATAAATAATTTTAAACTATTATTAGCCACTTTATTATTATTATTATTATTAATCGATCTATTGATAATTATGTATTTCTCTATCCTCTAAACAATTATTTTAATTTTATATGGATGCCATTGTTATTCGTTTCTAATATTTTCATTGAAAATCTTTTATTGAAAAACATTGAAAATTAAATTTTTTTATTGAAAATCCATTTAAATTCGATTATAGGATTGAATATTTCACAGATGATATTTCAAACGATTATCTTTAATTTTAAATTTGTTAACAAGGCATCTTAAAATTATATAATTCACATTACAAATTTATTAAAATTTATCTATAGAAACAGTAATTTGAGGAAAACATTAAGAATCGTTTGATTTGTAAATATATAAATAAATGTTCATAGAACAAAACAATGAATTTATTTGTTCGATAAAACCGTTTGAATTTAAAAAACTATTTTTATACTGCAGACTACTTTTTCCTTGGCATGAAAGAATAATTTCAAATTAGCTAAATCTCTGCGTAAATTCGTCCTACCTCTAACGGACAATTATTAATAATAAAATTTATTTCAAATTTACGCTCGATCAAATGTAATATTATATTATGTATGAATTTATGAGATAAAAAAAAACTAAATACAACATTTGAACGTTTATTCCTCAAATTTTATCAATGATTTCATTGATACTAAATTTTACGACTTATATATGTACATAAGTTCTCAAAAATATTAAATCGAAGCCTTTTTTTTCAATTTATCGATTATTTATGAGGGGGTAATACATATTTGGTAAATACAGTTGCTACGTTTAAATTTATAATCTTATCTTTTTAGTGATCTTGTCTATTAAATTATTATTTACATTTGTTCGATTCTTACATAATACTATTCGATAGATAATAATTATAAAATGTCAAGTGAACTAATAAAGCATATATATTACTTTCAAATGACGATTATAAGAATAGTTTATCCGGAATAGACATCAATTTAAATATATTTAAGTTACTTTTAATAACTAGAGCATTAGGTAAAATTAATTACAATCGATATTAAAATAGAAAATCACGCGTAATATCAACGCATAAGGTGAAAAATATTTTACCGTCTATCAAGAATTCATTTATTCCCATTATTACTGACTAGTTAATACAATAATAACGATATACGCTTTCTTTTTTCATTCCTATCGAATTAATATTTACTCTATTATTTATTATAAATTCAAATGACTTATCAATAAATGATTTCTTTTTTAAAAACTAATTATGATAACGTAAATTAAAACTCATTCAAATCCTTATTACTCAAGGTTAATTATATTAATAGAGGAAGACTATTTAAATATAAAATTCACATGTTTCCTTGAAGTTATTAACTTTATATACAACACATGCTCGTTTATTAGTTACAAACGTAATTGATAATTTACATGTTCTTACAGTAAATAATACTAAACGATGTTTCAAAATATACATTCAAAGTTTCACTTTCAATTAAAATTTATAAATATTTAATAATTAACATTAAGATTATTGGATTCATATATTTTTATCAATTTACAAATTTTTATTTTTCATTATTAAATAAAGTAAAATTTTAATAAAACTATAACTAATGTAAATGTAAATATAAATTAATTCAACTTTTTAAATTAACGCTTGTTTTAAAAATAGCAACATTTGATTTAATGGAAAATTTTTGACCTTCAGTTATGAAATAATATTAGCATAAATTTTCACATATCGCAATTCATTATTTAGTATTTATAAATAATGCAAATGCTACATTACATTTAAACGATGAGTATACATTATTCTTGATTTAAGAATACAATATTAATTTAGTCTTCGATATCAGAGATTTCTGGGAGTTCGACATCTCTTAAAGTGGATTTTGATGAACTGATTTCACTATGAATTTCAAAAAAATCAATTTCAGAACCTGAGTATAATAAAGCAAGATTGACAGATACATACATTATACGCAATAAGCAATAGATTAAATTTTTTTTTTTTTTTTTAACTCCATCTTACCAGAAATAAACCCTTCATCGTCGCAAGGTGGATTCGATTCATCCAATTTCCTTGCAGCTCTTAATAACCTACGCTCTTCGTTAAATATACTATCCATTTCTTCATCTAAAATGATAATTAAAAAAATTTTTTTTTTTTTAATAACAATGATAATATAATATTATATGATTAATTTAAATTATTATATTCACTCATATGCTTGTTGTGATCAAAATAATAGGCCAAATTTTCTGGCTCCGAACATTTAATTAGTTTTTTTGGCTGCTTAGGTGCTTCTGGTTTTCTAAATACAAAATTATCCACAACATTTTGCATTATTGGTGATGAGATTTTTGGCGATAATTTTTTCCCAATTATATTCTCAAAAGACTTATTCTATACAAATAAAAGATCACTGTGTACAATAAATTGCATGTAAACAGTACGCTTTAATATCAATTAATTAAAACAACGGCTCTCGATGCAGCTAAATACCTTTGCCATTTTTGTTTTTATTGGTAATATGGCCTGTTTATTAGGTGTACTTTGTTTATTAGATTGTGATTTTAGACACTCTTTTGAATTTAATTTACTTGATTCTGAATTATGCGTAGAAGAAATATTAAGATCTGATTTAGAACGAATAGACAGGCCTTTAGGTTTATTCTGTGAATGTGTAAAAATTTTGGCTGGTGTTGATACATTTCCATGGAATTTCATTTTGGAGGACACATGTAACTGAGCTTCCTTCCCTAAATAATTATTGTTAATAAATATTATATGTATAGAATATATAAGCTTATATGGATTTATTTTAAAAGCATGAATAGCTTACCTTTACTTAAGGACAAATTCGTATTATTTTCTGCTTCGTTAAATATACTGAAGAGTCCGGCCATTTCAACCGTAATTATTGTTTAATTACTAATAATTTATCCGAAAACTATCAAATATTTAAACAAAATTTTTTGTTTCCAATACTAAACCGTCACAAAATAAAAAAAAAAAATACTTAAGAAAAATAATGAATTAAAGTATCCCTATTTTAACTTATCCTCTACAAATTCATTTACAATTACAATTATCTCATCACTCGCATAAATAAACATCTAACAACGATTCTCTTTTAACTAAACAAATCTCTTCAACCGTCGTTAACTGGTCAAACATTTGATTTCATCAATCATACAAATTATTGACATTTATCGCCAATCAGATATTTCGATTTAATATTTAAACATTTTCATTGGTTGAAAATTATGTAATAGTGTGTAGCATAAAAATGAACATATACGATTGGATTGAGGCGGTGTAATAAGAATTTGGCGCGAACGTTTAAAACTAGGGATTTTTATATATTTTATATATCAAAGACGAGAAAAATTAGTTTTTCCAACATTAAAAATGTAAGCTCTAATGTGTACATTAATATAAAATAAATACATACGATATAGATACTTGAAAATAAAAATATATATTTCTTAATATTATGAATATATGTCATTTAACAGTTAATGATTAGTGGCGGCGGCGGCGCGGCGTGGCGTGGCATGGCGGGGCAGGGGAGGGGGTAGAACAAAAATAAAAACAATTATTAAGTTTCACGCCTATTCATTAACACTTTTATAAATGATTGTTTGTTCACTAGTGCATTATTATTTATTTGTGGTTTTAAATTATGTAGTGTGCTTAATATTTTCAAATATCCTACTATAAATTTGTAATCAATTGTAAAACTATGTATAAAATCAATATCTGAATTAACAATTATTAATAAAATATTCTTATATCTAAAAAAGAAATAATTATAAAATATCTTGAGAAATATGATATAGAATTTTGTGCTCAAAGTGGAAAAAGCAACATTATACGTCAACGTATAATAGAATGTCCCTAATTTATAATAAGTCAATAGAATTTTTTTAAAATAATAGTTTTTCAACAAACCTTAATAACAATATACTTATCATATTGCTATATCATTGTGATAAAAATTTAATTTACATTTTTTTTTTTTGCAAATTGTAATTGAAGAATCTTAGATGCGAATGAATGAAAATAAAAACAAGTCTACGATGACTTGTTAATAAATCAAAATTTCATTTATATACATTAATCGAAATGTATGAACATTTATAGCTTCGTTGGCATCTATCATACGACTACAGATTTGATAAATATCTAATATTATAAAAATAATTTGATAACATATTTATCATCTATCCTCAAATTTATTAGTATGATCATTAGAGTAAGAAATATTTATTTTGTAATTATTCTCTGGCAAATTAAAGATGCTGTATTAAAGAGAGAAAGAAATAAAAAAAAAAAAAAAAAAAAACATGATTTAAATATTTAATTAACAAAACCAATCTTATTGATCTTTAAGTTTCTTTCTCGCTGTTAATATTGTTACACATATTTGTTTAATTTTAAAAATTGTTAAATATGTTAAATATCTAATGGCAAAAAGCCATATTGTAAAACAATGCATATCCATGTAAAATTTAATATATTATACTTACAAGGCCACAAAAAATTAATAAAGCAACTGATTATATAAGGAATGTATGGTTGAAATTGAAAAATGAAGTATTCAATGAACGGCAGTTTTTTTTAGTATGCAAAGTTGTTTTTTCATCGTCAACGCTAACATCATCCAAACTTCTTTAAATTTTTTTTTTCTTGTTTGTTTTTGTTTTTGTTTTTTTGTAACATACGTATGCACGGCATCGTAAAGATACCATATACATCCGATATTCGTAAATCATTCTTACAAAAAGGCACTTATCCCATGTATGTGCATAGCTCTGCAACTTTTATGCATCTGGTTTACTCAATAATTTTTTTTTTTTTTTTTTTTTTTTTTGCAATTTCGTACACATTCGACTATACATTATTGAATACTTGCTTTTTTATTAATTGTAATTTTCGATGAAAATAAAATTCAACTATTTTACATTAAGTAATAAAATGCTAGACAAATACAAATCGCTCGCTATAGCAAAGTTTAAACTTGGAAGCATTATTTACAAAACATGCTATTTTATTCTTTTCAATCGTTGAATAGTTTTGATTTAATGCTAATACCAGTTTTTACGTTTACTTGATAATTCATAGTATAGTAGTTGCTTTTTGTCTCAGATCTAGGAGATATTATAGGGTCGATCGTTATTACTAACTTACAATGTTTAAACTTTCATTTGATTATAAGAGAATGGACAGCGCAGGATTTTAGAGATGGTATATCGACGCAACATAAAATAATTAAATAGCGAAGAAAATAAATATTTCTTCAAAATGACTTTTTTATTGTGTATTATATTTATGTAATATTTCTTTAACCACCGATAAAATCCTATCAAGATTTTATTATATATCCATTCGTAATTATAAAAAATAACCATAATTTTCGTGCACATTTGCTTTTATATAAATTGTAAAATAATTTTTGATATTACAATGCATCATTTCTCAACATTTCCTCGTGGTAATGCAATTTTAATTTAATACAAGTACAAAACATATTATGCATTGCATAAGTGTCGGAAATGCATTAACTAATATGATTAAGTAACTGTAGTATCATACATTACAAAATGAAAACAGCAATTCGAAGAATTATTATACACATTTTCACGAACTTATTAATTAATCATTGTAATGTATTGTATCTTAAATTCTGCCGAATTGAAACAGCGCAATACAAATTTGTTCAAATATTTAATGCTTAAATGAGGTAAGTAGCATTATCATTAAGAGATGATATAATTTTTATGATACTTGTAGCAATATGAAAAAATTGAATGACTGTTTAAGGCTTTTGAGTGTTATTTATAAAGTTTTATAAAAAAATTAAGTGCAATAATTTAAGTACTTTATGTTTTTAGACCCAATGCTAAAAGTATGAAAAACAAATTTTTGTAAATTCGTTTTACATTGGGATTGTGTATAAAATATAAAAAAACTAATTAAGTATTTAGATACCTAATTAGTTTTTGGTATTATATTTTTAGGCAACTATCATTATAAGGAAATAAGTACAAAAAAAATGTTTATACTGTTATCGTGCGATAACACTTTGAATATTAAATTTGAATTATACGATAATTATACAATTACATTAAAAAAAAAAAAAAAAAAAAAAATTAAAAAAATTTTTTTTTTTTTAAAAAACAACACGCACGCACTCGCACACAAAACAAAACAAAAAAAACAAAAAAAAAAACAAAAAAAAAACAAAAAAAAAACAACAATAATGAAATGATTAATTTAAAAATTTAAAATTATTCTTTATACGAATTTTTAATACAATAACCTTAATATTAAATTAAGTAAACGTAAAAAATTGTACCAAACTTGTAGCGTCATTTTACATATTGATCTTTCATTCGCTTAGGCATTGAATTAATAACAATTATATATTAACTTGATTGTAGTTGGCAGTAGATAAATGACTTGATTTACGTATGCAAGTTATAAGCAAAAATATTGTAACAATGTTTGATGCGACGTAATATCTTGTCTAAAACTAAACGCTACTGAAATTCCGGTAAATCAATTGTTCGATCCTAATTGAAAGAATAGTTTTGAAATTTAAGAACATTATGTAGATCATTACTACAATCAATAAACTCCTAAGTCATATCGAATATTCGTTTAATCGACCGAATCTAGGGGCACATTTTATGATAAAGTTAATCCAGCATCCTTGGCCATACTGTAGAAGGAGCTATCTGGTTTTTGAAGTAATATATCAGGTGAATCAAACTCGACGATTGAACCTTTGTCTAAAACTATAACCCTGCAAATTTAAAAGGACATTATTTTATTATCTTTGTATAAATTTGTCATTGAGCAATGGCTCTTATGGACTTGCTGGCTGGCGCTACTTGTGAATTAGAATTAATTTAATTCTACTTTTTTCTTACCTGTCTGAATCCAGTATAGTATTAAGCCTATGAGCAATAGTGAGAACTGTACAATCTTTAAATTCTTCTCGGATTGTCCTTTGTATCAGATCATCAGTTTCAAGATCTACCGCAGCCGTCGCTTCGTCCAAAATCAATACTTTCGTTTTCCTTAGTAAGGCTCTTGCCAAACAAATTAGTTGTCTTTGACCAACGCTCAAGTTGTCCCCACCTTCGGTCACTTCATGAGACAAACCACTTGGTAGACCTATATAAAGCGTTATATCTTGTAAAAATAGAATATTATAATAATAACGAATAACACAAACATTAACGATTCTCATGCACATCAAGTTTTCTGTCATCTTTTTTCTTTTGTTTTTGTTTTTATACAAAAATTTAAAATAATCAAGTCAGTATTATTTTTATGTTAGAGCTTTCTAAATAAATAATACAAAATTTTATTTAATTTCACATTGATTTAAGCACATAATATATTATATATTCCCTACTTATCAGCAATTTTCTTATCAAACATGAATTTCATCAAACGACAAATAACGAATGATTTATGTAATAAATAGTTTCTGTGGGGAAAATGACTAGATTCATTTTCTAAAGATATTTAAATTTAAATATAATTATGGTTAAATATAATTACAGTTGATGTAATCAAAATTTCATGAAAATAAAATAAATTTATGGTAAAAATTGATAATGCTAATTTTGAGTGGTTGATGATTTTTAATTTAATGAAAATGATTAACAATGCCAGTAAAAATCCTTAAAAACTTTTATACCATATGATTATAGTTAAAATGTAAATTAATTGAAAATTTTATTAAATATTATATACATAAACCAATGATTAGCAGAAGATATTTTATGGTATTTAAGGATACATTTATTTAAAAAAAAAAAAAAAAAAAAAAAAAAAAAAAAAAAAAAAAAAAAAAAAAAAAAAGATTTACTCAATATTCTACATACTATATGTATTTAGTATTTACTATAGAATTGAATGGGAAAATTAAGGAAAGAAAAAATTTTACTTTAAAATAAAAA